GGCTGAATCTGGACGCCAGTTCCGACTTACATACAGATTCAACTTAAGAACAAACCTACAGTCCCTATGTTGTACTTAACCTGGGGACTGCCTGTAATCCATGTTGGCTGTTCCTTATAATTTTATTGTTCTCTAGGTGCTCACAAATGGTTTAATAACTTCTTCCAGTATCAATCCAGAAATCAAAATTAGGCTGACTGGTCTATAATTCCCTGGGTCCTTGCTGCTGTCCTTTTTAAAGAGAGGTACTGTTTGCCTTTCAACAATCCTTGGGAGTTTAGACACCCTTGGATTTCAGTAGGGTTTATTTCATTTATATATTACCAAAAATGCCAGACACTTTATTGTCAAAGCAGAGGCTTCTGCCAGAAACACAAAAGCAACCCCTAGCCTCTACCCACCTTACTATCTAAACAGACAGCACACTAACCAAAAAAGGGGGACTGTGATAATTGCTGAGTAATAATTCTAGTGTGCTAATTATGAGCTAATTCTTACATAAATGGAGAAAGGGGAGCAAATAAGGAAAATGTTCTGATTATTCTAAATGAGATTTACAAGACCTCAAAATACAAGAGATTTTGTATACTAGTATTTTCCTGTTTCATCTTTCACATCCCAATGTTTATACTATAATTTACAAAAATATTTTTGAAAGTGGTTAAAAGATAGAGATTGGGTCTTCATATTGTCTGTATTTACATAAATAAAATAAAAAACACAGAAGCCATGCGTTAATCACAGGAAGTATCTTTTAAAGAGCAGATTCCAACCTTTTTTTCTTATGGACAATTTAAGATTATCTGAAATCAGCAGCAAGTGCATCTGAACTTCTAACCTATTCAGCTGCCTCTGTGATATGCAGGGGTAAAACAGACACTTTCTACCTGTTTGTGTTGTCATGTAGCTGTTCGTATTGCCCCACTTCCATCCAAGATCCTGGCAGCTCCCCTAACAATTTTCAATTGCATAAGCTTTGCCTCTCTGGAGACCTCTCAGCTTGCCTGACAAAACTGGGATACAGAACCTGAACACTGAACAACAGGCAGGTAGGAATGACACAGACATCAGCCGGCCCTTATTTCTCACAAAGATATGACCCCGTTCCGAGCCTTCTCGAAGGGGAATTACATAACACATCCAGATTGGATCTGCCTCTATTGTTTTATGGCAGAGTTAGTCCAACCTCTCTCTCACATTTAATCACTGCTGGCAGGGCACTATGCAAGAGATAAACAGATTATCTTCATCTGACTCAAGTTACTGTTCATCTGGACTTTTTAGCTCTCCTACACTGAATCAATCTACGAACCTCCTGGCCCTAGAAAGAAAAGAAACACAAGGAGAGATGACATTCTGAGACAGATGCAGGGAAAACAGGAAGATGGCAGACAACACCAAGAAATATAAACAAAGTCCTCTACGCCACAGGTTTACATTATAAAGCCTATGACTGTGGACAAATTTAAGAAATTGGGAGGCTGCCAAATAAACGGGGGGAGGGGGGGAGGAAAGGGGCCGGAAAGGGTAATTAAATGAGAAAACCTTAACAAAAAATTCCATTTGCTTACACAATAGAGAAAAGCTTTTATGTTTACAACGGTTCAGGGAGTCAAAGCCTGCTTCAGCTGAACATCAAAATAATATCCAAGACAGCCTCTATCATGTATTATACCCTGCCCTTCAGGGAAGATAAAAAGTAGCTCTTTGTTGTTCTTGTGGTCGGTTATGTAGTTGTAGTTGTTTTTAATGTAAAATATTTTTAATTGTAATCTTCTTAGTGTAATGAGTGTCTCAGAGGCCCAACCCTGGATTAGGGCTTTAGGTGCTTCTCCAGCATGAATATAATGTTTTTAAAGATCACAGTTTAAAAAAAAAAAATCTCAGTGTACAAAGGGTTAAGATCCATAATTTGTTGTCCTTTCCAAGCTTTTCTTCATAGTCCTGAGAGTGCGAAATTCATATATTTCTCTTTTTTTTAAAATGAGAGCCGAGATTCTTAGCTCATTGCTTGTCCTCAAAAACTGAGCCTTTAACTGAAGCAACAATTATTGTGATAGTTGCCAATACTGTGTGCTCTGCAGTTTCCATCACAAGATACACCCGCATGGGGTCCATGTCCTAACAACTGACTTAATGAAACATGGTCAATACAACTGGATAAAGAATGGTTACAGCTGGGACTGCAGAAAGAACCCTGGTGATCTCTAAAACTCACTCTCCTTGGGGCAGGATTAATTCCTGTCCACGCATTCAGAGGCAAGAAACACTTTGCTACACAATGGGTAGCCAGAAAACTAAAGCATCTGTTCTACCATAAGAGATTTTTGCCTTGGCTGTTGTAATGGGCTG